CCTTGTTACTAAGATTCAATTGAAGTTTTCAACTGACATTAAGAATGTACAGTAAACCGTTGACTTTTCACCAAATACACCAATAATATAGATTCATAGAACAATACATACAATATGTTGCAACACAACATTCTAACATTCACCTTATTATTGATAAGTGTTTCTTTAAAATATTGCTTATCATTGGCAACACTAGCATTTGGTTGTCAAGGTGTTATACAAAAATCAATAAAAGTCTTAAAACTATGACCTCCGAAATGCATACATTATTTTTCAATGCGATAAAATGCATTTGAACATTAAATTAAATTGCATAATTACTAGGCATTTTAGAATAGAATAGAATAGAATAGAATAGAATAGAATAGAATAGAATAGAATAGAATAGATTAGAATAGAATAGAATAGAATAGGCAATACTGATAATTTTTTGTGGTTTAAATTGTTGAAAAAATCTTTTCAAAGTATTTTTTTTTAACTGAATAAAGTACAAATAATCATTGAAATACCTTGTAAAGTGAGTAATTTAATTTGTGTCATGAAATTTCTTTTGTTGTAATTGTTTTCAAAGTAACAACATCTCAATACATTGTCCACATTAAACTATGTTAAAATATCCAAATTGTCATTGTGCTAATTTCACTGCAAGATTTAGGTCACAGAGATTTGTTTCTCAGTGATCATCAACCCCAGGTTTGATTTGAAAGGCAAACACAATTAATGTTGACTAGATAAAATTAAGTCTGTCAGAGAAACCCATTAATGACACTTTATAGTTTAGATAAACTGAAATATCATGAAAATAATTGGTATTCTATTCAGGTTTGGATTGTACTTATGGAGAAATCTCTTGCTTCATGTACTCAGACTGTGTGCAAATGAAGAAGTGGCAAGAAAACAAAGATGGCGGCACAGTGTGTACAAGTAAAAGGAGTCAAAATTCATTAATATTATTTGAAAATTTTGCAATCACACATTGTTTAATACCAATAACCAACAAACAAATAAATCAACCATATTACTGTTAGTTTTGTGGACACATTTTATTGTGGCAAGATGTCATTTGACATCTGACACCGTATTATTACGTGCACATTGTATGCTACATTGTTTTTATGCACCACCCACACAATAGGGTATTATTTAGTCCCCTGATTACATGAATCCAGTGTTACAAACAGTAAATATCATATCAGCTGTTATTTGAGTAAAGATACAAATATCCATGGCTAGCTTCATAGCAGTTGTTTACTGATATATTTAGATGCTACCCACAGATAAACTGAACTACCTGTACACTATATTTAATAAATTGTTCCCCAAAATGCAATAATGGATGAAAACTAAAAATAATAAAATAAATTATCAAACACCATTTTAAACAGAGTTTAGTTGAACAGTTTAGAGATAATTTATTACACACAGCATGTACTAACGCCAATTGGCAACTTAGTAATTTACAATGTATGTATAAATAAATTATTTCATGCCAATGCACTTTTATTATATTCTAAATTTTGCAATATTAGAATGAACATTGTATCTATGTGTAACCTGTGAAATATACATTGTATCTATGTGTAGTATGTGAAATGCACATTGTATCTATGTGTAGCATGTGAAATATACATTGTATCTATGTGTAGCATGTGAAATATACATTGTATCCATGTGTAGCATATGAAATATACATTGTATCCATGTGTAGCATATGAAATATACATTGTATCCATGTGTAGCATGTGAAATATACATTGTATCCATGTACTAGTATAGCATATGAAATATACATTGTATCCATGTGTAGCATATGAAATAGACATTGTATCCATGTGTAGCACATAAAATGCACAATGTATTTAGGCATCCAAACCTGGGTTCATTTAAATACTTTCTTCATATATGCCCCAAGAACTATTATACATTTAAATGGATAAAAACAACAATGACACAACAAGCCTTTCATACACTATGTATAGGAAGTATTTATCACACTACTGAAGGCTTCAATGACAGCATGTACCTTCAGCGGCAGCTGTGCTATGAGAGCTGTGTCAGCTGACAGCGATAACAGTATTGTTACGTGAAATCTCTGGAAATGGTTCATAATTACTAAAATTTTATCACATTACAATTTGATAATTTCATTAAATATGACAATGTGAGAAGATAGCTGTTTATATACATACTCGTATTCCACACAAACCCTGGACAATCCACCAATTTCCCATTCAGCATATTTCAAAGCAGTCATCATCTTGGCAGCAGTCGTTACAGTGTGACTAATGCTGATAATTATTGATTACATTGTAGCCAGGTTAGGAACCACTAGTAACAGTATTTGGATACAGTGTCCACAGATCACAGACATGTTTTGAGTGTAGTTCTTTATGTTAGCCATTTTATTTACATGCAAATTAATCTCAAAAAAGGGCATTTCTATTAGGGCTTTATTCACAGGGCACACACTGCACAGTATAATTTAATTAGCATATCATGAATTATTCATGAACAAAATATATTATTCATGAGGAAGTTGTTATGGTGCTGTTGGGTATGAAAAGAAAGGTAAGGTCACACAGGTCATTGACATTTGACCTCTCATGACAGAATTGAATGAATAACAAGACAGTCAACACTCACCCAATTTAAGTCTGACAATTTGACCAACTGAGAATAAAATAAGAATTCACACACCTGTTCACACAAACATTATCTCTTTTTACGTCAAATTTTCCATGATAAGACTCAGAATTATAAATGTTACCACCCAATGATTCTATACTCGCACAATAGCTGAGAGAGAAGATAACTAATTTTTTGTAAAATTTCACTACATTGTGTATTTACAAATGTTAAAACTAAGATATATCAAAATATAATCCACTTAAGCCTGATCAATTGTGAAACCAAATTTATATAAGAAAAAATATTGATAAACCCCAGAACTTTAACAAAAAAGATTAAGAGTAATAAAAAAGTGTACTGTGTATCTGAGTATCCATATATAACATGTTTTAATGAAAACCAATTAACACTTACGGATACATAATTATGACAGAATTAACTTTTTTTCAATAAATTCTGCAAATGCATATTTAACTATATTTATTTCATCCAGCCATCTACAAGAATATTAAATATTAATTATTGATTGAATCTAGTGACGGATGGTATCATGGAAATAAATAAAAGCACACCATAATGTGATCTACTCTAAAGTGAATGAATCATCAAAACAATATTGCCGAATTTATTTTGCCTTTTCTTAAACCATTCCACCTCACCCTGAGAAAATGCTAACTACAAATGAGAATTTGTTTTCAATAAATTTTTGATAGCCTTCATTATATTCAGTTTGAAGATCAAGTTCTAATTTTGTTACCTTTTACAAAATATAGATACAGAATTTTTGTACGTGTTTAGTTCAGTTAACTCAGGAATTTAGAAAAATAATACAAATTAACTAAATGTTGATGCAAAGTTTGGCGAAACTAATGATGGTTTTCTAGAATTTGCTACTTTTATCGTAAATTGCAAATGAACTTTAAAAATATTGAAACTATTGATTACTATCAACTATAAATATAATAATGAAAATATTTTCATAAAATCTGAGTCTTAACTTTTTTTTCTTGTTTAATTTCATAATGTCGACTAATGTCCCCAATGCATATTAACATAATTTTTTCAAACTTTATTTTGATTAATAATTAATGCTAAAATTAATTTTCCTTTTTCTATATATCTTAATTCTCAAAGCACCTTAATTATTATATTAATGCTTGTAATTTTATTAAATATTAATACACAATTCTTTATTAAAATGAATAATACATAAACAGTTAATTTATTTACATTGTTCAATGCATTTGCACTTAATTTTCAAAATTATACCATTTCCATGGTGACAGTGATAAAATAATTGGGTTGTTTATATTAGGGTGTTTTCATCACAGAATATATATTATGTAATATAACATTGTTGAAATTATAGAATAAATAACTGATGTGGACATGACATCACACAGACAAAACAAACCAGATTAATCAAACAAATCCTGTCAAATTCAAAATATTGAATTATAAAAAACTTTCATAAAAGAACAGCTAGCTGAACACATTGAATACAAAGAGAAAGGTAACTTGGATATTGGCATTAAACTATTTTCCAATTTAGAGAAATTCACACACACTCAAATATAAGCACAATTGCATTAGAAACACATCTTTATCCATAGAAGCAAACTGTCATTACCACGAATAGAAGCGCATCTCAAGTAGAAGCGCATCTCAAGTAGAAGCGCATCTCAAGTAGAAGCGCATCTCAAGTAGAAGCGCATCTCAAGTAGAAGCGCATCTCAAGTAGAAGCGCATCTCAAGTAGAAGTGCATCTCAAGTAGAAGCGCATCTCAAATAGAAGCGCATCTCAAGTAGAAGCGCATCTCAAATAGAAGCACATCTCAAATGGAAGCGCATCTCAAATGGAAGCGCATCTCAAATGGAAGCGCATCTCAAATAGAAGCGCATCTCCATTAGAAGAATTTCTCTAATAGAAACGCATCTCCATTAGAAGTGCATCTCCACTAGAAGAACATCAATGATAATGCAGCAAACAAATGTAGTATTTTGTGATACAAACTTTACATGGATGACATTGAATGATGTTAATACACATACACTGGAAGGATGAAATTCCGAGATGTCCCAGAGCCTCTCTTTGGATATAGAAACATAGTGCCCTCTATATGGAAATGTATCCTACCTTTCTGGTGTTGTCTTTGGTGGGGAATGTTTTATGACTCCGGCATGCTTCCTCACTGGATCTGGACTTGGCTGTTTCAACATACCCTGAAATATCAAACAGAAACTGATGTTACCATGGCAATCAAAAAAAAAAAGGAAAATATATTCTATTCACAACAATTTTTAACGCGACAGACCTTAGATAAGGAATTATGGGTATATTGGTTTTCAATAGATATACTTATGGGTATATTGACTTTCACTAGATAGGCTTATGGGTATATTTGTTTTCACTGGATAGACTTATGGGTATATTGGCTTTTACTAGATAGACTTATGGCTATATTAGTTTTCACGAGATAGACTTATGGGTATATTGGTTTTCACTAGATAGACTTATGGGTATATTGGTTTTCACTAGATAGACTTATGGGTATATTGGCTTTCACTAGATAGACTTATGGGTATATTGGTTTTCACTGGATAGACTTATGGGTACATTTGTTTTCACTGGATAGACTTATGGGTATATTGGTTTTCACTAGATAGACTTATGGGTATATTGGCTTTCACTAGATAGACTTATGGGTACATTTGTTTTCACTGGATAGACTTATGGGTATATTGGTTTTCACTAGATAGACTTATGGGTATATTGGTTTTCACTAGATAGACTTATGGGTATACTGGTTTTCACTAGATAGACTTATGGGTATACTGGTTTTCACTAGATAGACTTATGGGTATACTGGTTTTCACTGGATAGACTTATGGGTATATTGGTTTTCACTAGATAGACGTATGGGTATATTGGTTTTCACTAGATAGACTGATGGGTATATTGGTTTTCACTAGATAGACTTATGGGTATATTGGTTTTCACTAGATAGACTTATGGGTATATTGGTTTTCACTAGATAGACTTATGGGTATATTGGTTTTCACTAGATAGACTTATGGGTATATTGGTTTTCACTAGATAGACTTATGGGTATATTGGTTTTCACTGGATAGACTTATGGGTACCGGTATATTGGGTTTCACTATTGAATTACAATGGATTGACTTTCAATCTGAAATTATGGAAAAATTTATTCATGTTCTGGAGTTATTGGAATATTGTTTTCACTTGGAATGATGGGCAAACAATTGCATGTTTACAGTAAATGACTTTGAATTTCATATTGTTGCACAAAAATGTTGACATTTGGAAATGTAAAAGTATTTTTCAAAAATTTCTTTTTTAATTTTGGATCAAAGAGATGTTATTTTTCTTGTTGATTGCTCAAAATTTCTGAAAAATATGAAAAAGAGTATGCAGGTTTAAGTTGACTTTAATTTCGCAAACACATTTTTTGTGAATTTGGAGAGTCTGGGAAAATCATCAAATCGCAGAAATGTATATTATTAAAGCCTAGGATTTTGCATCAGGCCAAAGAGACTTACAAGATTGTGTTTGATTGGCTGCCCAACCCTAAACAGTAGAACCAATCAGAAAGAAGCTTGTTTGTTTGTTTGTTGACTGATTTTTTTCAACACATCAAAAACAGCCTTGTTAAAAATGCCAGGGCTCAACTGATGTTTTGGTATTTATTTACATTTTATCAGGGTGTGAAAATCAATAATGAACAAATAATAAACACGAATGGCTGAACTAATAATTGATATTTCTGATAATAGATCATTTTTGATGAGAAATATGATATGCAAGTTTACTCAATGTTTGAAGTTGAATCTTTCATCGAATACATTCAAACTATTCATCAGTATGCAATGAGCACACCATAGCATTCACATAGAACTGGTCACTCACTGAATTCATGCTATTTGCCGAGCCAAAATGACCACCAGTTACTGGTACCTATAGTTCAGTTACTCACAAACAAACAAACAAACCACAACATCTCTGTGTCTTCAAAGAATTTGCTGACAATTTAATGAATGAAAGAGGTACTATATTTTGCCAATTTCCACCTGGTGAGAGCTGAAGCAGAGAGCAGTCACATGCATACCACAGTACAATATACCCATCCGAGCACAACCACAAAATAAAGGGCTTCAAGTCAGTCATCTCAAGAAAATTACGAAGGCTAAGAAGTTCACGAAAGTTCATTAGTAGTCTTGTTGGACTCTGTGACAATATGGCATTCCAATTTTGGCAAATTTGTGTTTAAGCGCAAATCAACTCATGCACTACTAATACATGTACCGGTATGCAACAAAAGCAGGGTTTCAAAGATTCCTGAATACAAAAATATTGTGATTTTGATGGAAGCTATATGATTCATTCAAGTGAGAAGTCCTGGTGATAAAATCTAACGATGTCAGTTAAAGTCAGGCACACACAAAAAAGTAATAAACTTGAGATAGGAAGATTTAATCAACGTGACATACGAGCTGAAACTGAACAATAATCAGCTGCAGCCAACATTCCATAAGTGGCACGTAGTTTCGTGTTTACACACCATTCCACTTCAATTTGACCGGTCATTGTAATACAGAGCACACAATCAACACTGTCTAAGTTGCTGAATTCTGAATTGAGTATTGAAGGGTGAAATCTAGCGATAATTATGTTTGCAGACCATCAAGTCACAAATTTAAAACTGACAATAAGTCTTTGTTGGGCATACAGATTCAGTTAATGACAAATACTACGGCACCAGTAAAAAGATTGGACACCAGAACAACTGCAAACCATTTACTGTTGTGAATTTGGACGCCATTCTATCTCCCACGTCAAAATATTTTCAAAACTTTTATATGATTTCTTTGTTAATTTCTGATTGGTTTATGATCATGATTAAATCTTTCCAAATAATACAGTGACAAATGTGTAATTATTTTGTAAATGGCGACAAAAATTGCTTTTGCTTTTAAAAAAATTAATACAACCCTCTGATAAGACAACATATTTATTTTATGTGTACAAAATACACAATTATTGAAATTCAATATTTTGAAAAGAGTTGGAATGTTGTCAGTTACTTGTTCACTGTGCAAGTTTAGTGCATAACTATTTTCAATAAGGTAGGGAGTTCATATCTATAACAGTAGCCGAGTTAGGGAGTTCATATCAATAACAGCAGCGTTACATGATGTCTGACTATGTAGAATTGCATCAACAAGAATTAAAGTCGATAACAAATACCATACTTCCTGTTTTACGCATAAATTAGGGATATCAAGAGCCCAAAACAGATAAATTTACCATAATCTACCAAGAGCAGAAATTTAATCTGTCATAAAGATTTTTGCCAATCTTATAAACCAACTCACTCAACTCAGGCCTACATGGGAATTACAGCGGAATTATTTACCACTGAAATGTACTTAGAACAAGAACATGACTAGCAGATCTAAATACAAGAGAGTAGCATACTCAGCTGGCATCAGACAACAATTCAAGACAAAAAAATGTACATAGCAGTAGTTGTAACGTAATCAATCAAAGATTATTGAACCTATATAGAGTTGAAAGAACCTGTCTGCAAATAACAATCAATTGTCCTCATTGTCTACAAAATTCTTTTGCTATTAATAACAATTGGTTATTATTGCCAAATATTTTTTTCAAAAAAATGTCAAAACCAACGATTTTAAAATAGATTACTCACAACCAAGATTCTCTGAAAATTATTTAAATATTAGTTTTCACAAATTTTAATTGTAATCCAACTGACAATAATTGATGTTTGGAAGATTTCTGTAAATAATATGAATGCTAATAAACATATCTAGTGATGACTACTATTTTGCGTAACATTTCACAATAGTAGTAAAATGGCTGCAAAATTTATTTTGTACATGATGGCCATTTGTAATATTTTGCTAAATTGTCACTGAATTGACAAATTTGTAGAGGATACTGACCTTTTCTGGTTTGACTGATCGTCTTGGACTGCCCTCATCTGATGTACTTTCGATGGAATCAGTTTTCTTCAAGATACTGCGTTCTCCCTCCTCAGATCCAGAGCTTCGCCTTTCAGATTTCAGAATTCCCCTCACCCTTTCAGGTAACGAATCGTCAGAGTCTCGTCTCTCACTTTTTAAAATACTTCGAACTTCTTTGTGAATATCTTCACGTTCTTCAGATTTTTCAGATTTAAGGATGCCGCGTGGTCTATCTTTATCATCCTCTTTTTTGTCCGATTCTTTAAGAATCCCTCTGTTCTCAGCGATGTTAGAAACAGAGCTTCTCCTGAGAACCGATTTTGGTTTAGTTGAACCGCTTGGTTCGGGGGTTGCAGTACTGCCCCCAGTGTCTCCATACACAAGTGCGATCTGGTCTGACAGGGGCAGAGTCGCTAATAGCTCAGGGTCGGGAGGTTTGCTGAAGCTGATAGCAAGTGGTGAGATTTTTTTAGCACTTTGCAACTCCTCAATTGTGACAGGCTGCGTTTTATACCGTGATCCTTGACGTTTTTTCTTACGTGTTGGCAAAACTCGTTTCGGGGGAGGTTTTTCTGGAGGGGTTTCGGCAATATTTTTAAAGAGATTCATTTTTTCAGCTAGACTGAGTTGAGAAAGTTTATCTTCTTCTTTCACATCTTCTTTGGCTTTCCTGATTTCTTCCTCAATTTTTGCTCTCACACGTGCCTCTTCCTCCTCTTCTGCCAATGTTGCAGCAGTTTTTACTTCTTCCAGTGTCACTGGTTGGGTCTGTGACCTTTCAGAACTTCGTAACCTCCGTGCAAAACGTTTTGGTTTACCACGTTTTGCTTCAGCGGCTTTCAATTCGGCCTGCTCCTTCTGCATTTGCAAAAACAATTTTTTTTTCTCAGAGACGCTCATCTGTGACAATTCGTCTTTTTCATTTTCATTTTCTGCGCCATCCACTGAAGTCAGCTGTTTGGCAGCCAGTACCTCCGGTTTCGTTACCGGCTGTGTCCTAAACCTAAAACAAACAAAGAACCAAATCATTAGAGACCTGCAGTAATACAGTATGGAGACCACAGCAATGAATGAATAGTTAAAATAACTTCAAAAAAAAAGACGTACCACATCCAGAATACAAACAAGGTCAAGACAGCACCACACACTTCAAATAAAAACAGTACACTGAACATAATGGTCTAAGTCAGGTGCACAAACACAGAGCAAAATGTAGACGCAACTCACTGCAGTTAGAGTTAAGAAATACTGCTCGCAATGAAAACACCACCACAGTTCAAAGGTCAGATTTAAGTACAATTGTTTTTTTTAAAAACACGTACAGAACTTTTTCAAAGCTGTTAGCAGTAGCGACAAACAAAAGCAACAAAGAAAGCACTCTTGTCATGCATACAGAATAATCTAGAAGACAAGTGTATCCTACACAAAGTAGAAGGGCGTGTTTGTATTTCTAACTTTATAATGTGATACCTTAGTTTCATTGTTATTTTAATTTGCTATCATATAATTACTGCCTTACCCCCACTCATCTAAGTTCCAAGTACTGTAAGCCATTTTTAATATTCCTGAGTTACGAGACAGTCAAAATCGCCTATGTACAACACACACTTTCATGTCATTTTGCGAAATTATGTCTTCAACAAATTCCATAAAATCCCAAATTTGTGAAAGATTTTAGTGATGAAAAATAACTGTGCACAGTAATCATCTCACCATTTAAGCAGAACTAATTTGCATACAATGTACTGTAGAATACTTTATTTTCGCTTGGAATTTATTTTCGCTATTTTCGCTGAAGGGATGATTCCGTGAAAATAAAATCCAGCGAATATATATTTTTTCCTATATTTTACATTAATCTCATCAAAAATCAGTGAAAATAAATTTCAAGCAAAACGCCCAAAAAGCTTTTTCAGCGAAAATTAATTCCAGCGAAAATAAAGTATTCCACAGTATTATACAGCTGTACCTTCATAATGACATGAAGAATTATTTTTGGCACATTCCAGAAAAAAAAAAATTTCAATGACAAAAAACATTCTACAGGTTAACGACATTTATCATATTCATTTTTAAAATGCATGCACTGAAAAAAATGAGGCAAATTTGTTTAAGGTAGAATGATACATAAAAGTAAAAATATGGTCATTTTCAATTTTTTTTACATATTTGATATAAAAGGACAACGTAAAATGAAATAAAAATATGGGTCAAAATTTTACTTGATGACATTTGGAGAAAAAAAGAAGATATATAGTGTTTTACAGGATACTTTTTGATGTCTAGAATTATTAAAAAATTGACAATTTTTCAGTGGGTTTTTTACAAAGAAAATGTGTTTTCATTGTGGTATATGGAGACTGCTGCTAAAATGAAATTTTAAGCACCTTATTTTACGTTTTTTTTTCTTCTTTTTCTTTTGTTTTTCAGAAAAAAAAACATGGACAGTCAACCGAAAAAGTTTACGTACTGTTATAAATACTTAAATGAATAGATTTGTACACAAAATATTCTCGCTGTTGTATGCGCTAAAATATGCACACATGTAAAAAAAAACTCCTAGTAGGATTGTACATTAAAGTGACACCTCAAGTTGAGCATAATTTTATAAAAAATTTCACAAACTGGTTAGGAATAAAATTACAAAAGTTAGATTAATGTGAATGTATAAATAATAGTGTCCAAGGTGCAATTGCAGGAACTGACAACTTCTTCTTTAAATAATACAGAAGGCGACAGTAAGCCAAATTTCTACATCCAAATCAGCCTCGAAAAATATGCTTACTTGTCCGGAACGTATGTTGCTGATATATTTATAGACAGGACCAGTTGTGGTGATTTTTTTTTCAGTTAAATTATAATGATAAAAAACTTTGAAAAAAAAATTGTTTTGCGAAATTAGGGGTGAACGCAAAACCTTCATTTTGCAGTTACAGGTGCTTTTGCATTAACACCTCCATTTCGTGATATTTTTATTTAATTTAAGAAATAAATAAATTCCCCAGACTGTGCCAGTCATATGTATTTACTATACAGTCAGTTAAGGCAAGTATTAATTTACTAGTAAGTTTTCTAAATTGCTTTTTCCTCGTTATCAAACTACCCCAGTGTCTAGCCCTAGATTGGACTCAAATTTACTGAAATCAAAATTTGGGATTGTAAATTAGTAAAAACTGCAATTCCATTTAACTTAATGCAATAAATGTCTACACAAAAGTTTTGAAACACTCCATGAAATTGTCAGATAATGATCAGATTGCAATAGTATGGTTTCTATGTAACAGAATATTTTAAAATATATCTTAGGCTACAAACAAACAAGTCGCATGGACTGAAATATTTTTTTCAATACCGGTATCAGGAGAAAGTACTTCCAAAATAAGATTTTACAGAAATATCTATTAATTAAATTAAAAAATAACCACATTAAGATTACATTGCTTTGATCTGTTACATTGTACCATATTCCTAAAATTACAATAATTCATAAGTGATGACTTAAGTTGGGAGACAAAAGTTGGTATAAAAAGGGTCATGATGGGTCAGTCATTGATTCAACAACAGCAGTACAAATACAAACAACTGATCTGATTGTATTTAATATTTTAACAATTCTGTCACCACCTTGTTTTCACCAAAACCAAATACGAAATGACAAAACATGAATTTGCCAAGGCAAAATGCAGAAAAGCGTCAACACTATGCCGGAATTGACAAGATAAGATCAGTCAATGAAATGGTAAAGAACAAATTCTATCATCTATTGTATGATCTTTATAGAAAGAATCTGACATAGTGAAAAGGTTTACATTTAAAAATACGTTCTTAAATTTCTCTAAATACTTTTCAATTGTGTGAAAACTAAAAAGATTGGCGCTTACGTGACTTGCCCTCTCATTGCTTGGGATGTCTCACGGTTTGTGTCATTACATAGTTGTTGGCAGCCTTCGTTGATCGAGCATAACTGACAATAGGTCTTGTAATCTATTCATAGTACTTTAATAAATAAAGTTTAAAGTTCATGACCTTTTTCAATGTCACTGTTATTGTACCGCACACCTTGACCAAAACAAAGTCCATTGACAAGAAAACGCCCTCTATAGTTCAAAGTATAATCTACAGCCCTCTGAGCTATAACAATGAGGGCGCTAACACAAAGACAGAGTGCTTTTTCTAAAGAAATGCTCAGCAAATGCACAGTTCATCAATAGTGTTGAGTGACTGTGGCAAATGTTACCAAATTATCAGTTTCAGAACAATCTCCCAGAAAGTTTGTATTGGTCAATGTACTGTTGTTCATATTTATAGAAAAATATGGTAAACAACTCTGATTCCAGGAGACAAGTCAGAAGAAGGGTGTAGCAGTGACCATATGCAGATACTTACCTCAGATTACCAAATTAAAACAAACAGACTCAATAAATGGACAAAACCATTTGGAAAACAGAAATACAAAAGTCACAAATGAGAGGATGTTTCTACTGATAAATTCATGAATTAAGAAATTAGCAAAAATTGAATTAGTTTTCACTCAATACAATTAAGAACAAGGTTAGTTTTGAGAATGAAACAATTATTTGGATATTTTGAGTTTAATACACCATGCATAGGAAGCAAACTACCTTTGGCTTTGTCTGCGGTGCTTAAGTTTATCATGCTGTGCATCGCCCCCATCAGGCGACAGCAGGAAATGTGGGATTCGGTGAAACGGGGAACTGTAGCTGAGGAAGCAATGGAAAGAATGTACATACTACAGGTATCAAACCACTAAATTAAAATGATAATATTGAAACATCTTTACAAAGTGAACACTATCAGATTGTAGCTTGTAACTATCATGCAATTGTACTGATTTTTTTTTATACAAGTAAAGGAAACAACTGTGATGTCATAAATTGTTGCGATATTACAGAATTGTAGCATTTCTTCCATCTTCACAACTGTGAATTTGTTGTGTGGTATCTGTGATCCAAATGATATGTTATCAAGAACTGTCTTGAAACATGACAATATCCAAGTGTGCATTGACATGAATAAGGATTTGAATACTACTAATATTACGAAGATTTTGTGTGTCATTGTCAACTTTTGGTACCATCGACAAAATGTAGTCTGGTTCTCCCCATGCTAAATGTTGATAACATTGCAAACAACTTTTTTGATTAAAATATAAAAGCAATATAAAAAATGGTGATGAAATTTACTGAACATTTTACAAAATGTGAAACTATTAGCACTGAAATTGGGCAGCAAAAACATCTGGCACTCGAAGGGTTAATATAATGTTATTTTCCCACATTTTTGAAGTCCTAAAAAGCCAATCCTGAATGTAATCTTAATAATATATTTCAAAATCGATTAAAACCTCTCAAACTTGAATGTTTCCGTAAATTAACACATTGGATAAATGCTTTGGGACATTTTTCAGAAAAATGTTTCTAAAAACATAAAAATAATAATTTAGTGGTTTGATATTGTTGCAAATGAAATATGGAGGAAGAGGAAACAAACATACATACACGAAAATATACATTGTGTTGAAGAGTATAACAATGAACACTGCCCTCTTGAGTCAACAAAATGAAATATAGTGTCGGGAAATCATATATAGAAAATGTGAAAAAAAATAAATTAAGTTTTTCCAGTTTAACAAAAATTAAATAATAATGCTCATGTAGAATTTTGATATTGGTAATTAAGGAATAAAACAATTTCTTTTTTAAGTAAGTGAAATTAATTTCTTACCGTTCTGCTGATGTTGCATCAAGGTCTTGTTTTTCAGGTTCTTTGAGTTCATGTTGATCACAAGGTTTACGTCTATCTGCCTCTACTTCTTGTGATATAGTGGATGAAGGGGTGGGAACTGGTGGTTTGGTAGCAGGTACATCTACATAAGCAGGGGTAGTCACATGTCGTTCAGGGCAAGTAGGTGTGCCCTCATGTTTAAATGGACTTGCTTGCTGAGCAGATTCTTCAGCAGCTTTCCTAATTTCTCCAATGTCCACCGTTTTTCCTCGATGCGATTTGGGACGAACAAATCGCTTAGGTTTTAATACATCTGGACTTTGTTTTTCCCACATTGATATGTCCAACTTTTGTGGTTTTTCAATCTTTTTCTCAATGAGTTCTTCAGCAGTTGGTTTATTTTCTGAGTCTTTTGCATTGCTTTTTAAAAAGAGTTCTCTTTCTGCTGCCTGAAACATCTCCTCATCTTCTTCTTCACGAATCTTCTTTGCACGTTCCTTCATCATCTCTATGAGCTGTGTGTCTTTTGTTGTCAAAGCAGATTGTTTTGAGTTAACTTCTTTACGAGCATCTGCTTCCCTCTCTTTCTCTAGCTCTTTTTTAGTTTTGAATGAAGCAGTCCTACGCAAAGAAGATCCTGTAACCTTATTCTCAACAGACAGAAAGGCAGAGTCGGGTGCACTTTCAAGACTTGGTGATTTTGAAAGTCTCTGAAACCTCTCAGCCATTTCAACTTTTTCCACAGGTGATTTTCCAGTTTTTTCTATTCGTGGAACCGCCTTTGAGATTGAATCAGTAATTTTTAGTTCTTCTGCTTTTGCTGTGTTCTTAACTTGACCTGCAGCATGAACCTTTGTGGCTTCCACCTTATCTAAGATTTTCTTGGGTAGCTCAGTCTTTTCCTCCTTAGTATAATGTTTTACTGTTTCACTGCATGGAATCTCCTTCACAGTTGATGGATCACCTTTTCTAGGTTGAACCAACTTTCTGACTGATATATCTCTGGTTTTAGGTGGTTCAACATTAGGTTCAGTTATTCTCAGAGGGCTTGCAGTGGTTTCTCTTTTTTCTGACCGTTTCGACGATTCCTCAACACTTTTTGGTGTACCTTTTTTCTGTTCTGAGGATCTTGTTCTTAAAGGTGCTTTGGCAGCAGCAGATTCTTCTTTTATTTTGGGAGTTTGCTTACCAAATCTTTTAATACGTTCTTCTCGGTCTGATCCAGAACCTCTCAAACGTACTTTTCTGCTGTCACTGTCTGAAGAATCAGATCCTGTTGTTCTTCGTCGCCATGGCTCTGGCGATGTTCGTCGAGTTTCTGCTTCTTTCAAGACGGAGGGAATCTCTGGTCGTTTTCGTGGTTTTCTTCTTGGTGATGAAGTTTCATCATCTGTACTACTAAGAGGCGAGTCAGTTCTTCGTAATCCTAATCTTGAGGAAGGTGTTCTATCAGCTTTAGATGTTGGTGAAGGTGATTTGGTTGAGGGTTCTGGTTTGGGGCGCAATTTCTTCTCAGGAGACACAGGTCGTCTAAGAGGTTGAGAACTTGATGAAGCACTCTTCCGAGGAGATTTTGGATCTGACTTATCACTCTTATCAGAATCGGAAGTTCCACGATCAACAATTCTCTTATCGGTCATTCCACGAACTGGCAATGATTCTGGTCTCTTTGTTGTCAATTCTCGTTTTTGTGCTGTCTTTGAAGTATCAACCCGTCCAACCATTGGCTTCTTTCTAGCTTCAGGAGATAATAATTTCTTTGGCTGAGCTCTGACTTTAATTTTCTCATCTTTCTTGATGTCTACTTTACTAGAGTCTAGATGTTCCTCTTTGGCAACAGGTGTAACTCTTTGCTCTTCTTTCTCTGTTCTGCTAACTCTCTGTTTAGCAATTTTAGGTACATCTGTCTCTGTACTTCTTGGAGATTTAATCAGGCCTGCTCGTTTATCAGGTACTCCATGTGAAGGCACATCCCTTTTACTTTCATTTTCAGCCTGTTTTGCAATTTTCACAGTTTCTGCAGATTTAGGATGCTCTCTAACTTTTGAAAACTCCTTAGGTCTTTCCTCAATTGTCTTTGGAACATCGTCTGCCACAACCTTAGCTGGTGCAACTGGAACACTTTTCTCATCTTGTGTACCAGAATGTTTCCCCATCTTCTGACGAACTTCTTTCAAAACTCTTTGACTTTCTTCAACCTTTTCAGCCAAGACCTTCCTCTTCTCAGTAGATGCTTTCTTTCCCTGAAGTTTTTCTATTAACTTTTTAGTTTGTTTTCCCTCTGCAATAGCTCCTTTCTTCTGCTCAGGCTGCATCTCTGGAGACCTTGCTTTATCAGCTTTTATCACCCTTTCTAGTTCTTTTTCCCCGGCCTCCTTATCATTCCTTTTCTCTAAACCATCCGTTTCTGTCACAGGTTTTTGTACAACTGCTACTTCTTTCTTTATTTCCTTTGCCAGTTCTTTCCTCTCAGACACATCTGGTTCAGAAGCCTTCACTGAACTGACATCAACTTGTTCTTCTTTCAGGATGTCCTTTATCTCGTGTTTACCTTCCTCTGGAACCTTAGCCGAGTGGACATCAACTTGTTCTACTTTCTTGATCTCATTTCTTTCATGTTCACCTTTCTCTGAAACCTTCACCGAGTGGACATCAACTTGTTCTACTTTCTTGATCTCATTTCTTTCATGTTCACCTTTCTCTGAAACCTTCACCGAGTGGACATCAACTTGTTCTACTTTCTTGATCTCATTTCTTTCACGCTCACCTTTTTCAGGTTTTTCTTCAACTTTCAACTCCTCAAGCTTCTTTGGCACAATATCACTCTTCCTCATTGGCACTGATTCTGGCATTATATCACTCGGTGTCGTGACTTTCAATCCACCCGATGGTTGGATAACTCTCTGATCTGAGTCACTTTTACCAGTATCATCTTGGCTGCTACTTGGTGATATTTGACGCTGTTTGAATCTCTGACGTCCATCAGAATCATCACCTGATCCACTTCGTGGAGAAATGCGTCCATCTTCTACAGCGACAATAAATGAACAAATAAATTAGTAATTCAGCAATGGATCAGAATCTCGAAGAACTTCAAATACTAATGTCCTAAAGTTGACTCTTACTGATATCATTCAGAAAACTTTATTGGGATCTTGTAACTTTTATGTGAAGTATTTGATGGTCTGAATTTGCATGAACTGCAAGAAATGTGTAATTAAAGTTAATTTTTTCATGATTTTCACTTTTTGAATTGTGTACTGACGTACACCAATTTTCGAAGATTCATATCAGCTGGCTACAATAATTCAAAAGAACAGTAAATCTGGGTGAATATACACAGATCAATCCTTCAATTCACAATTATTCACAGCCAGTGCTTTACACTAAAGGTAGTCCAAGAAAAATTGTCATTTGAACAGCTGAAGAAGAACACATTTGCCCATAGACTGTAGTAAATATACAGGCAAAATACATTTTGGAAAACTGATACCATCAAACACATGCATGTCAGTCTTGAGAGCTCAAATGCAGTGGATTCAACTTTAAGTTACTAGTATTATTTTACTGTGCTTCCATGAATATTTAAGATACATGTAAATTAGGACAAAAAATGTTCCAATTTTTTATTTCAAAAGTGTCACATAATTAATTTAATTTAATTAATTTTGCCACACTGTTTTTTTTCTCAATACAAAAAGATTACATTTTTTAATGATAACCAACTACATTTTTGTATCTACCGGTAGGTAGGTAGGTTCTTAAAACAGGCAAGTCAAAGGCTTTCACCCCATAACGACTTATAGTAGTTTTCATTGCAATATAGAACAAGCAGCCTATCGGCTGAGATAGCTCCGCTGTTAGCAATGCACATTTCAATTAAAGAACTGAAGACATCATTAGAAAATGAACAATATGAATAGTATCAAAGCAATATCACTTTTTACCGAAAATTACAAAAATATTCACCAAAATAAATTAATTAGAGAATTGAAGATATCATCACAAAATGAACAAATCTGAGAGAGGTCCACATGTAGTACCTATATATGTAATATCAAAGCAATTGCACTTGCGGTTTTTAACAAGAAGTCGAAAATATCACTTTTTACCAAAAATGACAAAAATATTCACCAAAATTAGAGAATTGAAGATATCAACATGAAATGAACAAACCTAAGAGAGGTCTACCCAAGGTACATATACACCAAGTATCAAAGCATTCAGCTTGTAGTTTTCAAGAAGAAGTCGAAAAAGTAAAACATTGACACGGACGACGACGACGGACGACACCGGAAAATCACTCATATGATAGCTCGCTCGACAAAGTCGACAGCGGAGCTAAAAACACACAACTAGATGAGGAATAAAAACTATTCCAAAATTTTTAGCAAAGAACTGACTGTGAATTCCTCAATCCATTTTTTAAGTCAGGTTCAAAAACCATCAAAATAACCCAGTTGAACAGAAAATGTTTATGTACTGTGATCAATAGATTGAAATTTACCTTTGCTTGGAGTGTTTAACGCTGATCGTCTCCTTAGTGCTTTCTTCTCTTCTTTTCGCCTCCTCTTTCTTTCTAAAATTTCCAAACTTCTCGGCGACATAGTCCTCACAATATCAGATGCAAGAGAAAGAGAATCGGAATCACTCGGAGATTCAAAAGCTGCGGAGGAAGATTCGATAGACGCTTCAGAATCAAGACTGTAGAATCTAGGTTTCCTCTCAGAATCTTTACCTAATAGTTCACTTTCTTTTCCTATTGGTTGCCTCAGTCTCTGACCTTGCATAGTGTCTTTTACTAATGCTGACTGCTGTAATGAATGATCAACTGTTTTTATATCCCCAGAAGTTGGAGGACGGTGACGACTGGTTTCATTTTTCTGTTCAATTGACGATGGCACTTTTTGAGTTTCCACATTGATTCCAGAAGGCACAACTGGTTCTGGTTCAGGCACTTTCTTTGAACGCTCATGGATGGATGGAGATTCAATACTTGTCCCTTCACCTCGTTTTTTAAGATCGTGCTCCTTATCCTCTGCAGATGGAAACAGAGATGCATTCATTATTTTTTTAAATATTATTATGTTAATTAAGTATGAAACCATAATAATGCAGTTCAAGACATTTTTTACTCCTAATATTAAAAAAAAAATTATGTAGTTGGAGTAACGAATCTCAACATCCAAATTGTTGTACCAGTGGGTAAATCAAAAAAGTTTAGATGCGTCAGACTGTGAAATTAGAAATTAATAATTCTGTAAACTTCTTTAAATATTTTTCATGAATTTGTTTGGTGAAACTTAAAGCGAGAGGGCCGTCACCTGCGTACACGTGGGAGTTGAATCCAAAGCGATGATAACAACACACACTAAAAACACAAAGGCTCATGGGTAGGCGCTTGTTTGTAAACAATGACATGCTATGGACATCTGACGCATGCGCAGGTGACGACACCCCCGCTTTAACTCATTTTGTAGTTGTAAAGATATGAGAAGTCACAGCGATTCACGCAAAGTTTGTCCTCTTTCTACAATCGTAATAATACAATTATCAAAAATATTGATAACTGACCAGAGAGACCCAGGCACAGCAAGGATGTATAAAATTTTCCCCGAGTGTGATCATCCAAAACATACATGGTCGTACTCTTGGTACATTGCTTGAGGTCAAAATGTCAAGAGTTCACACATTTTTTTGGTGACACAGTATAAGCAGATTTAATTCACCCAAAAAGTATTCAACTTAGTGTGAATGCTACTATAAATAGCCATGGCAACCAATAACTTCCATTTTTAGAAACTTTACCTGTTTGAGCCAGTTGGGGCAGGTCACTTCTATCTCTGCTTAACCTTCGCTTTGAGAGTATACTCTCGGACACTTTGTCTGTGGTTAGAATCTCAGTTTGTCGTAACCTACAAAGGCAAGGTGTGAAACGAGGTCAATTAGATGATCAAGCACGTAGATGCACGCTTGCATCGATAAATAAGATCAGTTCAGACTGCTGACTACGAGTACAATGCTCAATTTTAATATCAGCTTTTGTTTGTACATTCAGAGTAAACATATCACACTCAGGTTAAACACTGACTCTGATGAATCATCCAACAAGAATTATTGTGCAATGATTAAACATAGGTAATGACAGAGCTTTCTACTTTGACGAATCGCCTGCTGGAGGTTTTTTTTATTATAAAATATATATCGGCAATCGGTGACTACCTTATGGAGGCTCTATGTAAATATATGCGAGTTGCACTCTGAGATCAGTCCACAAACTTTTAAAGAAAATGATTACTTTGCAGGAAATATTTGACATTCTGATTTTGCACGAATATTTAATATTTGATGATGAAGATTCATTTAATTTCAAATTGTCTTATTTATAAACTATGTTTGAATTTAATTTGCCAAACTTTTGGATAATGTTCCGATACACAAAGGATTCTTCTAAGTCTGGTAATAATCATCACATATTTCCCACAATGCATGCATATTTAGACCACCAGCAATTCACATAATGGTTATAATATCCCAACAAGGATTTAGAAATGATCTCAGGGTGCAGATGTTCATGTGGCTACAAAAGTCATGATAAGCACTGACTTGCCTCCCAAC